TGCACCCACTAGAGTGGCTGTAATAAAATAAGACTGACAATACCAACTGCTGGTGAAGATTAGTAGAAATTTGAAACCCTTGTACGCTGATGATGGTAATGTAAAATGATACAGGCACTTCAGAAATAATTTTGGAAGTTTCCTAAAAAGTTAAACATGTGCTTATTATATGATCTGGCAATTACACTCCCAGGTGTTTCTTTACCCAGGAGAGATTAAAAAAACATGTCCACAGAAATACATGTATGCTGGTGTCCATGGCAGCATTGTTTAGAATGGCTAAATATAGGAAATGGGTGAGTAAATAAACAAAATGTGGTATATGTGTCCACACAAAGAACACTGCTCAGACATTGGAAAGGATCTCCTATCCATGCAACATGGTAAACTTCAAAACCATTATGCTGCATCAAGGAAGCCAGACCAAAAAAAGTTGCATGTTGTATGATTCTATTTATATGAAATTTCTAGGAAAAAAACAAAAAATATACAGACAAAATCTGTAATTGCCTGGGCTGTAGATGTGATAGGCAACTGACTACAAATGAGCATAAAAGAACGTTCTCGGTGATGGAAGTGTTTGAATCCTGTGTTGACGGTAGCACAATGATATACATGTACTCGAGTTATTGAATTATACATGTGAAACATGTCATTGTTATAGTGTATAAATTATGCCTTATTAAAATTATTAAAAATTAAAAGGATATCTAGGTTGGAAGTAGAAATTTGAGACTTATTAGTATGTAGATGGTCATTGTAATTATAAAAGTGGAGAAGATACCGAGGAAAGTCTATTGAAAGGGAAAACCTAAGAACCTGGGACAGCCCTGGCCGGTTTTGCTCAGTGGTTAGAGCGTCAGCCTGTGGTCCAGAGAGACATGGGTTCAGTTCCTGTTAAGGGCACGTACCTCAGTTGCAGTTTGTTTCCAGCCCTGGTTGGGTCGTGCGGGTGGCAGCCACTCGATGTGTCCCTTTCACATCAATGTCTCTCTCTCTCTCTCTCTCTCTCTCTCTCTCTCTCTCTCAATGGAAAAAAATAAATAAATAAATTTTAAAAAAAGAACCTGGGACAGATCCCTATGGACCAGCAATCCTTGAAGTACTGAGGGAAAAAAAGAGAATGAGAAAATGTGGTAATCAAAGTAGAATAAAAACCAAATAGTATAGTGTCTCAGCAAGCAAGTATTGCTTGGAGAGTGCTGGTCAAAAGAAAAGATATCAAATGCTACAGATGGCTCTGAGAAAAAAGACCAAAAGGTATTTAATGGTGGTCACCTGAGACCTTGGAATGAGCAGTTTTTGAGAAGCAGGTCAATCTGGGAGTGAGTGGGAGGTAATGAAATGCAAACAAGAAGTATGAGGAGTCTGTTTCCATGTTCATCTGAAAATGGAAGGAGGCAAATGAAGCAGAAACTGACAGGAGAGGCAAGTGAGAGGTTTTTGTTTCAATAGAAGATTCAACACCATGTTTCACTGTAGTGGAAAAGAAGTGAGTAGGAGGAAGGATGTTGAGGATTTAGAGGAAAGGGTATAAATTTAAACATAAATTGCATGAGAAGAAAGAAGATGGGATTGAAAACACAGGTTGAGGGATAAGCATTAAACAGAGAATAAAATAATTCTTCCATGCATAAGAATAGAGGAAATGAGCCCTGGCCAGTTTGGCTCCGTGGTTAGAGCATCGGCCCGCGGACCAAAGAGTCTCAGGTTCAGTTCCGGTCAAGGGTGCATACCTAGGTTTTGTTTCGGTCCCCTGCCCTGACTGGGTTGTGCAGGAGGCAACCAACCAATGTGTCTCTCTCATGTGGATGTTTCTCTCTCTCCCCCCCGCCCCCCACTCTAGCTGAAGATAAATGAAAAAAATATCCTCGGGTGAGGATTAAAAAAATAGAGGAAATGATTATATAGATAAAAGTAAATTCATAGATTTTAGGCATTAAGGGAAAGTTTGTTACATGGCTTCTGTTTTCTCTATAGGAAGCATGGTCATCTGAGAGTAAGAGCTGAAGTCCTAATTCTGAGGATTTGAAGGGAGTAGAGTAGTTTAATGACCTAGAATGAGGTTAGTGATCATGAATTTTTAATGGTGCTTAACTGCCCAGTTATATAATTTTCTCTAGAATAACTCAGCAGACTAGGAACAAGAGAGGAGATGGATAGTTGGATTTATTGAGGTTGGCACAATCAGAAAGGCAGAGAAGGTCCAGAGTGTGTAGAGTAGTGATAAGAAAGCAGTTGAAGGATAAATCATGAGCATGGATAAAAATGAAGAGACTGGAGGCTGATGGACATCATCTTCACTTGAGTTGCCCTGAAACAAATTTCAAGACAATGCTTTGGGCAGGTAGTTTATTTGAGAGGGATCTCAAGAAGCAGATATGAGGGAATGGGGCAAATAAGTCAGGTAACAAGGAAAAACTAATAAAAGGGTGTTTTTTTTAGCTCATTATAATTGTGGGGAACTAGGACTGAGTAATGGCTGGGGTCTCTCTGAGGAACAATGTGGAGCGTACCTTGCAATTGTTTCTGCAGGCTAGGAAACAGATGCATTAATCCACCAAATCCTGTACCCTTCGGTGGAAGACTGCTTCCAGGGACCTTATATGCCCCACCCCCTTCTTTCTAGGCTGCCTTTCTAGGGATGAACAAACACTTCAGCTTCAGAAAAGTCCCAGAGGCAGAGAAAAGATAGGAAGGAGAGTTGAGCTTCAGGTGAAATGTTGACAGCATCTAAGACCCCACAGGAACTGAACGCTACAACTTGAGCTGAAAATGAAGGAAGCCTAGGGCATGTAGTAGAAGTCCAAATTAGACTGATTGAATAAAAGTCCCTAGAAAATCAAAGCAGTTGAGCAAATAACTTGGGATAATAAGAGGAGTTCTTTGACTATGTAAAAGTTACATATGTCCTCTGAGCTGTTCATTTATCATCAGTAAATGGGGATGAGAAAGCCCACTCGTAATTACTGCTAGAATTAAAGAGTCCTTACTATGTAAAGCACTTGGCATAGAGTCTGGCATGTAGTAAGGCATATAGGATAGAAGCGGGATATTATTGCTAGTATCTATGGAAAATTAATAATGCTCGTAACTACCTGCATGTGGATAATGAAGGATTAATTCAACCTCTATAAAAAGGTTTCACTACTTACCTGAATGCAATAATTTAAATACCAATGCATTTCGGTTTTGTGTGGAAGGACATTAACTTTTCATATAGCATTTGAAATTAGTTTCATCAAAGAATAGACATTGGGAAAATCTTAAATGTAATCTAATTCCCATTTATCCTTTTTTCCTTTGGTTGGGATTGCATTTAAGTTTTTGTCAGTCTAGAATGATTTATTGTATTTTCAAAGCAATCTTCAGCAATGTTCTGTTGGTTTTGTTTTTTAATCTTTTCTGCTTTTGAACTTATTCAAACACTGAGAAACAATCTAAATGCATCTACTCTCCAACAACCTCTCATGGAAAATAAATTTTCTTTCATTCTAACTTAAATCTGTAGTGCTGTGTTTTTACTCATTTTCTTCTCAATGGAGAAAAAAAGAACAGCTGGCTATTGTCAACTTTCTTTTGTTTAGGATTTATTTAGTATGCAGTGCTTGAAGGTGATAAATAGGTAGATAGATAGATAGATAGATAGATAGATAGATGATAGATAGATAGATAGATAGATAGATAGATAGATAGATAGATAGATATAGATATAGAACTCCCACTGCTTTTTTCCCCCCTAAGAATAGTATATTCTACAATGTTGATGCTTTAGAGTTTACCTAGTCCCAATATATAACCGGATGAATTGATACCAGTTAAAATATTATTGTCGTACTGCATTTCATATTATGGCTTGTAGTAAATGACCTGATGCACCTTTGCTCAGTTACCAATTGCAATGTTATTCTTTTTCTTATAAATAATAAAAACTCTGTGCATTAACTAGTAAGACACCATATACTTTTTCCCATTTTGCCTTTTAGTTAACTTTATAGTATTTATTGTTGCTTTACAGATATATCATTAGTGTCTTGTCAACTATATAATTTTTTCTATTATGAAGTTTTTCTGTTGGTTTCATGCTTGAAGACATCCTACTTATCATGAGCTCTGAGCTATGTTCACTTATATTGTCTTCTGCCCCTTTAATATTTTTTATTTTTAAGTGAGCTCTGTAACCCATCCAGAATTAAATACAAGACTGAACATTTATTTTTAATAAAGTCCATGTTGTTTATTACAGCTTATTGTTTCGATCTGTTTAACATTTTATATTACAAATCTGTTACCTATATCTTCATAATACATATTAGTAATTCTCAGTTGGAGGCAATTTTGCCCTCTATGGGAAATTTGGCAATGTCTAGAGACATTTTCATTTTTTAGGATTGAAGTAGAGGGTGGAGGGGAGAGGCTGGCTGCTGGCCACTAGTGAGTAGAGGCCAGGGATGATGCTAAACAATCTACAATGAATAGGAGAGCCCTCAACAAAGAATTGTCAATAATGCCAAGGTTAAGAGAACTTAATGGGTGAGAGAGATTGATCCATTGGGTACCATTTCTCTGCTAGTTATATACTCACCAATAGTAATATAACCTGGCCTGTGTTTCTTTTTCCAACTCTGATTATTTCCTTGTGATACATTCTTAGAAGTGAAATCACTGATCCAAATGAAATGAAAAGATGAAAGACCCTTGATATATATTGTCAAATTGCCCTCCAGAACATTCCTTGTTGCTTACAGAAGCAAAAAAATAATCCTTGTTTTATTTCTACTCTAATTATTTTTATGTAGCTTTTGTTTGAAGCTTTAAACCTTAAACCTCTCTTTGGTTCTAGAACTCAGAATTGTTTTTTTTTAATAAATGTTTCTTTCAAGGGATTATCAAAGTAATCACGTTGTTATAAATACCCAAACAGTGTAATTCTTTTGTTTTTTTCTTAGTAAAGGTGCTTACATATGGTATTTTTCACTGTATAAACTGTTTCTTTTTAGGGTGTACAAGGAGAAAAAGGAGACCCAGGTCTGGCAGGCATTAATGGACAAGATGTAAGTCGAACTCTCTTTTTTCTAATAGTCTTTACATTTTGCCACTGAAATATGTTGGCTATCTATTGCTGTTATGATTCAACCATAAGAATCAAGACAATTTTTCACATGGCTCAGTAGAGGCCCAGCGGTTTTAATTTTACTGCCTTTGGTTCCTTGACTTCATATACATTTGACCTTTGAACAATGTGGAGATTAGAGGTGCCAAACCTTGCACAGTCAGAAGTTTGCATATAACTTTTAACTTCCCCAAAACTTAGTTGGTTACAGGGAGCGCGCGCGTACACACACACACACACACACACACACACACACAGCCTCCATGGATACCAAAATCCGCAGATGCTCAAGTACTCTGTATAAAATGGCATAGAACAGTACATACAGCTGGCCCTCCACATCCACGGACTCCCAACCACATATCAGAAATAGTACAGGTACTTATTGAAAACAATCCATGTAGTGTATACATGGACCCATGTAGGTCAAACCTGCTGTGTCATCCTTAACAGCCCTTTCTTCCTTGTTGTTTCTGGCTTATATTTTTTCTAGGCTTCCTTTCTCTGTCTTTTTTCTTCTTACATTCTGCTGTAGCTTGTTTTCTCACCCAGGGTTCACTTTTCATCCTGCCCCAAATCTCCATCTACTGAGGGTTCTGTATAGGTAGGATCACAGTGATGAAAAGAGAAGGAAGAAAGGAGGGGAACATGTATCTGTGTTGCTCACCCTCCGGGGCTTGTAGCTCCTCATGGATACACTTGCCTGTACCATCCTCTAATCTTACTGTCTCCTCCCCTGTCCCTTAGGACACTTATCCTCTGGAGCTTTACTTTCATTCTTATGATAAAATGTGAAGGCTAGCCCAAATCTGGGGTTTCCTCTGAAATGTAGATTAATCTTATTTGAGGTCATCAAACTCATTATTTATTATAGATACACTAACTTAACCAAGGAACGTGTCCACAATGGGGAGATATTTTTCTCCATAATGTTCTTTTTTCACTTGCATAAAAACGTTTCTGAAAGGTTCTGAAGGGCCACACTACTTGTTTGATGGATAAAAGAAGAACAAACTTAGATTTGATTCCTTGATGCCGCGGAAGTGTTACGAGCCCTATCTTTCCCGTGAGAAAGGAAGCCGATCATTAGCAATCCTTGGGGCCTTTGGACAAAGTAAGAGGGACACCCGAGTGGAGGGTGCCTCCACAGGAGAAATATCCCACGAGTGAATCTGGTAGTTAACAGGGGCATGAGGCCTGACCCCACCCCCACTGCCCAGCTTTACTCCTATTTACTTTCCAATAAGCCTCATTCACATCTTTAGTATGACCCTCATTCATTTTCCTCCCCACTTCAAGGTCATTTTTATACCAGAGAGGAACTAGCACTTACAGCTAGAGGGGCCTCTGCCTCTGTCCGGCCTCCTTACGGTGCTCCGAGCACGGAATGTCGCAGCTGTGGGCCCACACATTTAAATGGAACCTCGATTTGCCTCCGACCCCTGTACATTGCAGGTATCTGGTGCAGTGGTACAAGTTCCGGAGAGGAAAGCCAGGGCCCAGTTTATGTGCCGGTTCGGACGCTGGCTGAGAAAAAGCACTTCTCAAAGTGATGGACTGTGAATAGATTCTAAAGTCCCCAGAACTATGATTTTCTACAAAGAGATGATTAAGATTACACATTTCAAAAGCACGATGAAATTTAGAGCACCCATTCGGGTTTCTGGAATTCCTGCTCCATGTGAGGTGCTGTGGGGGGGCTAAGGCAAGAATACAGCTGGTGCCACGATAGGGAAAGGACTCCTGTGAGGAAGGGTGTCCTTCCTCCTCGGAACGGAGAGATGTGGTCCAAGCTACGTTAAATGAAGATTTGTTTCACAGTGTGTTCTATAAAACAGGGAATTGGGGCCTTTGTGTATTTTTTTTTTTTATCATACACTTCATGAAAGAAAAGACCTTTTCTTGAAATTCCTAGTACATAGTAAATGTGTAGAGTAAATAAGTTCTCAATAATTACTTGCTAATGTTTGATTTTAAAAATTGGGAGATGATTCAGATTGTTTAAAATGTAAGTAATTAGAGCCTAAATTAGGGTAGGAGAGATGAAAGAGAGGGCATAGCAATGGAAGGGATATTACAAACGTAGAATATATACAATTTGGTATGTGATTGCAGTGAAAACTCAAAAATAGCCCAGGGTTTTGGCCATTCAGTATGGGAGCAATGCTATCTAACAGGAAATGTGGAAAGAAATTAACTATATTGTTGCAGAAGATAACCAAGCTACATATATGTGGGTTCTCTGAGATAGATGAGCAAAACACATGTTTTTATAGAAGTTTATTGCAATGTCAGAATTGAAATAGAGAAAGGATTGTCCCAAATATTTGAGTAAAACTGGAAGGAGACTTGAGGGGTTGGAACCTGAAATATATTTACATTAACTTAGAGATCTGGAAAAGTTTTTTGTGGTGTCTGAAAGTAAGGTGAATTGGCCTTTTAGAATTAATCAATGGATTCACATTTGTATTTGAGTGCCCATTGCATGCCCAAACACTCTGGCAGCCATTGTCTGAGTCCCAAATCATAATATACCAACCTGTGGAGGCAGCCCACAGCCTGGTGTGAACTAGGACCTTTCCTCTTTGAGGAGGATCTTGGAAGTGTCCTTCACATGACCCCAATCACAGGCTGTTATTTCTTTAGCATCATCACTGTTTAATGGAGCTCATTAGGTACATCATAAAGCATGACAAAGCACATTAGCTGACTTTTCTCCCTTGGTTACTTAATTAATATGTACATGATATTATTTTCCTTTCCTTAATTTTGCCAAAGATATTTAGAAGTCATGACTAAGGAGAAATAAAAAAAAAAGGTAATATAAGTTCTCCTCTTTCCCCTTTACCGTCACTGGGAGTGTAGAATCAAGTGCTCTGCTATTCCATCATTGGTGGTGGTGGTTTATTGTTTATCAACTGTGTTCATGAGGAATTTGAAATTTGATTCTCACCCCAGCTTTATGGGCTTGATAGCCTGTTTCAGAATCAAGAAATAAAGGCTTGGGAAATTAAGCAACTTTCTTTTAGAAAATGGTTAATCAGCCTTTAACCATATGTTTAACTAAAAAGTCTTATTTTCCCAATAAATCATGCCACTCTTGTCACTGTCTGTTTTGCAATGCTGAAATAAACTAACCGTGCAAACTAAGATCATTCAGCACCAAAGACAGTTGTCTCTGACTTTCAATGAGCACAGGTACACGTTGTTAGGGAATGAAGTGTATTATCGTAGCTATTTCAATTTGAATTGAAGTCAAGCCATGATGGGGATTATAACTTCAGAAATATTGTTAGAATGCATAGTAAATCAACTCAGTGGGCAGTCTCACTCCAGCTACTTTCTAAGTCATAGAAAATTGGAAGAATTTAATATTCCCACTAAATGAATCAAAAGCCTTTTTTAAAAATAATCTTCTTGAGTATGACATATATCTTGATGTAAATGTATCTTTCAATAGTTTCTTCTGTGCCAGCTTTCCTACAAAATGTGCAAGCTCACTTCAGAAAGTAGAAGCCTTATTTAAAGTGGAGGAGGGCCCTGGCCAGTTTGGCTCAGCGGTTAGAGCGTCGGCCTGTGGTCCGGAGAGACCCGGGTTCGGTTCCCGCTAAGGGCACGTACTTCGGTTGCAGTTTGTCCCCGGCCCTGGTTGGTCGTGCGGGTGGCAGCCACTCGATGTGTCCCTTCACGTCGATGTTTCTCTCTCTCTCTCCTTCCTCTCTCTCCCTCCCACTCTATCTGTACAAAAAATGGAAAATATCCTTGGGTAAGGATAAAAAAAAAAAAAAAAAAAATGTGAGTTAAAAAAAATAAATAAATAAAGTGGAGGAGGCAGCCCAGCTTGTTTGGCTCAGTGGTTGAGCGTCGACCCATGCACCAAGAGGTTGCTGGTTTGATTCCTGGTCAGGACACATGCCCAGGTTATGGACCCCATCTCCAGTGGGGGGCATAAAAGATGCAGCCAGTCGATGTTCTCTCTCATCAATGTTTCTATCTCTCTGTACCACTCCCTTTTACTCTCTCTAAAAATCAATCAATCAATCAATCAATAAAAGGAGGGAGCAGTGGTTTGGTCTTTCTCAAAGGGATACTGTTGGCATTTGCTTTGCCATATGGGACTGTCTTACAAGAGCAGAATGTTTAGCATCCTTGACGCTCACCAATTAAATGCCAGTAGCAAATCTTAGTCATTAGGGGAAAAAAATCTCTGGTGTGTGTGTAAATTGTGGATTGATCTCCAGGGTATTGGGGTATTAGACTGAATATATTGGACTAAGCACATATTGTTTAAATAATGCATGTCAGACATATATGGAAATTGTCACAAATTTTAATCGCTAGAATTTAGCCTTCAAAATACAAGACCTCAGCTTTAAAACATTCTAGTTTATAATTAAATTATTTTGATGGTGACATACTGTGAGGCACATTCAACAGTGGCATCTTAGAACAGACTTGAGAGGAAGTCTTACAAAGCTGACAATGTGACTTTTGAAGCCAGACGACCTGGGCTCAAATCCCAGCTAGGCCACTGCCTGGCTGCGTACTACTTGGTACATTACTTTTGCTCTCTGTGACTCAGTTTCTTCATTTATACAATAGGGTCTTAACATTAATAACACTAACTTAGGCTCTTTTTGAGGATTACAGGGTTTATCATATATAAAGCACGTAGAACAGTGCCTCACATATAGTAAGAGCTATATAAACATTTGCTATCTTTAGAAACTGTGTTAAATAAAACACATATATCTCTAATAGAAGTAGCTTATCATTTGTTTTGTGGTGTTTTATAATCTTAGAAAACTAGATTTCAGTCATTGAGTTTCATTGCTTCCTCTGCATCTTTATTATTGTCTCTCAAACATCCCTTATCAGAATTACAACATCTGATGTTCCTAAAATAATCACATTAATCTCCTTATACCAGTGCAATCTGTA